TCTTTCTTTCTTTCTTTCTTTCTTTCTTTCTTTCTTTCTTTCTTTCTTTTTCTTTCTTTCTTTCTTTCTTTCTTTCTTTCTTTCTTTCTTTCTTTCTTTCTTTCTTTCTTTCTTTCTTTCTTTCTTTCTTTCTTTCTTTCTTTCTTTCTTTCTTTCTTTCTTTCTTTCTTTCTTTCTTTCTTTCTTTCCCCAAGAAAACCTACTTTTAGTTAGTTACAGTATATGGGTTCAAGTATAAACTACAAATTATGAGTATATAATATGCTGTAATTCACCTGAATGCAATTATCATTTCTGATTGTCTAGAAAAAAAATTAATGCTGTAACTGTAAAAGATTTGATTAATTTTCAGATCTGTTTAAACTTCTATGAGATACTGAAGAGAATTTCTATGTGAAAATAAAGAAACTCTACAAATTAATAAAAAAACCTTTAATACTTACATAAGGGATTGTGTCCAAGGTGTCTGTGTTGACAATTATAGGGGCAGGGCTTGCCTGAAAGAGAAAAAAGAAGAAAGAAAACAAATTTAAAGACCTGAAATTCATTAATATTGAAATACCCATAATGATACATTAAATTAAATGTCTAAGAGCCTGTCTTCCCATTGAATTCAAATTGTACAACAGTGCATAACTTTGGGTACTGTTCAATCAATTAAGGCTGAAGGAAATAGATTCTCAGCCTCCAAACCACAGCTCACTGTGGTCTTTCTTTTCAATTTCATTAGGCTTGGGATCACATCCTGAATATATAATATCTAGTCGTTCATTTTTTAGTAGAACTATAAGAAACCTGATGTGTTCAACTTAGGGGATGTTGGGGTTGAGGGTTTCAGCTTCCCTACCTTACAAGTCCACCTTGTGAGTGTGTGCAAAACCAAGATCTTTACAGAGGATGAATATCAACATTTAATGTTTACACTACTTAGAAGTATTATATAGGCTATGAAGTATAGGTATATGCACATATACTATGACATTTATGTCAAGGCTGCATATTCTGGATGGTTTGTATGCACTCAGTTAAGGTTCAGATTAAAATACAGATCCAATTAAAAAGATCTGTGAATCTGCAAAACTGCCCAATCTGATCTTTAATTTATTGATGAAAGTCATATTCAGGCTAGTTTCCAGCCACTTGAAGTGCCCTAACCTCTCCCTCTTCCCACACTGGGATTCAGTGGTACTGATTCAAGGCTGAGCTCTGATTTGACACAGCTGCATAATCTTGGCTCTGGCTCTGGAGAAAACTACAGAGTTGTGAAAAAGTGTAGGCCAGAGGCAAGGACTATCAGTAAAATGTCAAACTGAGGAAGGACTACTGAGATGGGATTGTTAATACCTCAAGGACTCAGGAGAAGGAT